TCTCTCTGCAGCACACCTGATCCCACTTCAGGGTCCCCGTGCAGGCCCTGGTCTGAAGAAATAAAATGCCTCACTCAGGGGCACCTGGGTGGCTCACTCGGTTAAGCGTCCGACTCTTGATTTCAGCTCAGGTCATGATCTCAGGGTCATGAGATCGAGCCCCACATGGGATTCCACGCTCTACAGGGAGTCTGCTTCTTCCCCCCTCTCTCCCTTTTCCTCTGCCCCTCCCCCCACTCACGTTCTCTCTCTCTAAAATCAATAAATTAATTTAAAAAAATTAGACTTCTAATGAGTCTAAACCCCTCAGCCCTTTCTTCAGGCCTTCCTTGTTCATCTCTCCCCCTATCTCTGTGATAAAATCTGAATGTTCAGTCTAGTATTCGAATCCCCTCTGGTCCCACTACCTTGGACCTCCTCTCTGCCTTGACTCTGCTGGTCTAGTTGCTTCTCTTTCTATCCTTAATCTCACGTTATAAGGCTGCGGAGCCCTGCTTAGGTCCCACCTCCTCCTTACGGCCATCCACCAGCTGTGTGATATTGAGTAACTCACTTCTCTCTGGGTCTTGGTCTCCTTTTATGTCCACCTGGTTACACTGATGCCTCGAGGTCCTGACTTCCTACCGGGCCATCAGGTGCAGACGGCTCAGTCAGACTGCAACGAGCTGGAGAAACTGTATCTTTTCTGTGGCCCTCACTCTGACATGGACCCTACAACTCCTGGTTCCATTATTTCTCAAATATAGGCCTGATCTTCCCAAACGACTGACCATCCATGCAGGCAGAGAGCAGCTTTCAACTTACTTTCTATCCCCCCAGAAACCTAACTAGCACCAGGCGCAAGACGGGTTCTCAAAAATGCTTGTTCAATAAACAGAACAAAGCAAGGTAGCAAGGAGAAGAAGGGAAAAGAGCAGGCACCATCAAGGCTCCTGAGAAAAGTAAGGGCCGAGAAGTGCACTTGGGTCAGGTGTCAGTAAGTGCAGACACATAATATGTATAGCTGGCTATCCACGGGGTCACTGGCTTCCACCTTTAGATCTGGGTCAACTGTGTAGCGACCCCTTCCTAGCTCTCTATCCCACCAAAAGAAGGCATGCTGTTGGTTTCAGGAAACTCCTAAACGTGATCTGCATTCAAGAATTTCCAACTTCTTTGCTTTCAGATACTCTAAGCCTCAGACATTAACTGGGTCCAGGACTCCCAAGGGCACACTGATTCCACGCTGGCTTTCCGAGGAGCCTGGTTAGTGCAGAAGCCTCCCTGTCCAAAGGGAAACAGCTAGGTTTAGGCTGCATCCTGAACCACACTGGGGTTTCATGTAAAGATACTGTTTAAAGTGACTGGGTCAATCCCAATATTCAACTCTCCAGGCTCCAGAAAAGGCAGACAGGTCAGGAAGTGGCCATTTCCTTCTACGACTGGCTTGCCACAGAGAACCCGAAGTCACCTGCGAGGCAGCATGGCACTGTGGGTTATAAACAGGCTTCAGAGCCAGATCCATCCGGCTTCAAATCCCAGCTCAGCCCCTTACCAATGGGCAAGTGACATACGTTCTGGCCTCAGTTTCCTCATCTGTAAAGTAGGAATGGTAATAACACCTACTTCTCAGGATCACTGTGAGGTTTAACCGAGATAATGCAAGAGAACCGACTACACAGGAGTGTCATACTCCTGTTTCAAATGAAACTGCTGAATGCCCTGGAAGAGAGACCAGCTCGTTTTCTCTGTAATGTGACCCCATACCTCCTTGTCACTCTTATCCTTTCAGGAACATAAAAATTATAACAGGAGAACAGACCCCGCTCCCACCTCCAACAAGCTGTCCTCCCTTTGATTTAGCACAGCCCTGTGGCCACAAATAGTTTTGGAAACTCCAAACTATCAAGATTCACAGACAACAGTCAAAAGTCTCCTATACAGAGCCCAAAGCACCCCCCAGGAGCTGAGGGTGAGACCTTACTTTGTAGGCTAATCCCCCAGGTATTATCTTCCTTTGCCCCCCCAATACCCAATTATTAGAGAGGCTCTCAGTCCTTCCTCACTCCCCGCAAGGCCGCCAAGAGGCTCATAATTCATGCTCAGTGCAGACCACCTACCATCTGTGTAGTCCTCCGATGCGAGGGATAAAAGGCTTTGTATGTCACTGTTCTCCGAATCTGGGGCTTCTTTGTATGCCACTTGGCTGTTCCCTGAGCCGGCCACCCAGGAAGAGGTGGTTGCCTGATGCACCATCACTGTTTCTGAGCTCTGAGGGCCCCAGGCTTCACATAGTCCAGACTGGCCTGGGGCCTCCTCCTCTCCACCCGCAGAGGAACAGGCCCCTTGGTCCTGCAACTGCTGCTCCCTTGGCCCGTTCCTCCCACTGGGCCCAGACCCTTCTGACAGCACGATCTGCACCCTGGGGTCAGCAGGTGGCACACAGTGACCAGAACTGCCATACACAGCTTCCTCATAGGACGGGAGCGCAACCTGGACTCCATCCACCATGATGGACACCTGGTCACCAGATATCCCCTGGTCGCGCCTGCAGCCAGAGGAGGAAAAGACAGAGGAAGAATTAAAATACACACACAAATACCGTAACACCAACAATACCGACCATTTTTGAGCACTTACAATGTGCCAGGCACAGCACTAAGCGCTTTATTCCACTGAACCCTCACCTGAGCCCTATCGGGTACAGATTCACCAAGAGTGCAGATGAGGCTCAGAGAAGTCAAGTAACCTGCCCAGTCACACAGCTGGTCAGGGAGGGAGCTGGGATGTGAATCCAGTTCCGTCTGCTTCCAGAGACTCTGTTCTTACCCTCTGGGTACACAGGCACTCAGCCCTCTCTCGTCCTGTGCAAAACCTAGGAACCTAGAGACCTAAAAATAATGCCATCGTTCAGCACAGGTAGGAAGTAAGAGCATAATGCTTGCATATGTCTGTGAACATACTGTCTGAATACTTTAGTGGATACACTCTATGGTATGTGAATTAAATCTCCATAAAGCGGTTCTAAAAAAAAGGAGGGAGAAGCAGCACTGTGGTCTTGAAATGAGACACTGGAGTTGAAATCTAAGAAATTTTGTTTTGACTTAGCTTTTTTTTAACTTAAAAAATTATACGTAAATTATAACACAACAACACACAAAAATAGAAAAATGTACAGCTTGTTTTATCCCAAAGGTAACTGGGGTATAACACCTACTGAGGTCAAGACAGAGAATGCTGCCGGCATCCCCAGACACCCTTGTTCCTGTCGCTATGATCTCCTACCTCCTCATAGCCAAAGTAACCACTATCCTAACTTTCATGAAAATCATTCCTGGGGCACCTGGGTGGCTCAGTCGTTACGCGTCTGCCTTCGGCTCAGGGTCCTGGTATCGAGCCCCACATCGGGCTCCCCGTTCGGCGGGAAGCCTGCTTCTCCCTCTGCCACTCCCCCCTGCTTGTGTTCCCACTCTCGCTGTCTCTCTTTCTGTCAAATAAATAAAATCTTTAAAAAAAAAAGTAAGAAAGAAAAGGAAATCATTCCTTTGCTTTCTATTTCAATAGTTTTACTGCCTAAACATGAACCCTTCAACACCACAATTGAGTTTTGCATATTTTTGATCTTGATACGAATGGGATATACAATGAATGTATGCATGTGTGTGTATGTGTACATGTATCTGGCTTCTTTTATTCAACTTTATGCGTGTGAGATTTATTCATGCAAGCACCTTTTTTGAGATCACTTTTTGATACACACACACACACACACACACACACACACATTTTTCCTGAATCATTTTGAAAGCAAGTTATCTTTTTGCTACATAAAACATTATTTGGCACAGTCCTCCCAAAACCTCCCCTCCTATATAACTGCAACATCATTACATCCCTGAAATTGAACCATGGTGTAAGACCGTAATACAAATTTTCCCAACTACCCCAAAAGAGATCTGTTTCAGCTGTTGTCTTGTCTGTTTCCCTTGAGGATCCAATTATGGATCATGCGTTGCAGTTAGTCCTAGTTCATCTCCTTTCCCCTAGGACAGTCCACTATAGAGTTTCCTTTACGACACTGACATTTTTCGTAGAGTCCAGGCTGGTCGTCTCCTAGAACGTCCCACAATCTGGACTGAATTGTTTCCTTGGGATTAAGATCCCAAGTCAGTGTTTGCCCGGAACACTGTCATCTGTGCTGTGTGTCCTCCTCGGTGCATCACATGAGACACAGAACGCCGAGGACTGGACTGCTGTCACTAGCTCTCAAGTTCCTCACCTGTAGCTGCAGATAAAATCTGTGCCGCCCAATTCAAATGGCACAGACAATGAGGATGACAGAAGTGGTACTCAGAAATGCATGGAGAGGGCGCCTGGCTGGCTCAGATGGTTAAGCGTCTGCTTTCGGCTCAGGTCATGATCCCAGGGTCCTAGGATCGAGCCCCACATCGGGCTCCTTGCTCAGTGGGGAGCCTGCCTCTCCCTCTGCCTCTGCCTCTCTCTCTCTCTCCCTGTCTCTCATGAATAAAATCTTTAAAAAAAAAAAAAAAGAAATGCATGGAGGTTTCTGGAAGGAAGGGAAACTGACAGCAAGGGAGCATAGAAAGCAGTGTGCATTCTGGTATGTGTTTAACTTCTGTTATTCAAAATGCTTTTTGTTTGTTTAAAATATAGTATGTGCACACAGTACAAAATTTAAACAGAGCCCATATTAAAAACCAAATCGTTCTTCCACTCAAATCAGGAAAAATCAGCCCATCACTTTTAACACACTTACCAGATAACTACAAGAGAAAAATACTCCCTAATTTGGATGAAATGACAAGTAGATCAGCTTGACTTTATGTGGAAATAGCCGATTCTTTAAGTAAACAGTTCCCTCCAGATCCTCTTTATTCTACTAATTGTTTTAACAACCTTCAAAAAAAATAGCTGCAACCTGCTCCCCCAAACAAAATATAAAAAGGAGACAGAAAAATCACACCTAGTACATCAGGATTCAACTTAGCCTGGGCGTTGTCTGTAAATTCCAGACCAGGAAGCATTTTATTTAACACAGTTTTGTTTGTTCCCCCGCGCCTGTGGATGGCAACAGTGACTGATGAAGGGCTGTGAGTGCACACAAACCATTCTCAGGAGAAAGAGGGGCTGCTGAGCCAAGCGAAGCAACCACAGAGGCAGGACAGCCCTGGAGTGGAGTCCCTCCTAAGGGATACACGCAGGGCCAGCCCCCAACCATCTGCTCTCCCCCACCCCCCACCTCATCTACCCAGTCTGGGATGACTTGTGGCTAACGCATTCAACTGGAAGAAGGAAAGTGACAAAGGCAGGCAAAACCCCTACTTCCTCTGTTTCTAGTGCGGTATAGAGCAGTGGCTGCCAATCCTAGCCCCGCGTTAGGACACTGGGGAAGTTTTTTAAAAAGCACTAATGCCAGGCTCGCACTCCAAAACAAATTAATCAGAATGTCTGGGGATAGAGGCCCAGGTGTTGGTGTTTGTGTTTAACTCCCAGCAGATGCCTCTTTGTGCAGCAGGACTGGGAACTAGAGGGACAGGGCAGTGGCTCGCAAACATGAGCCTGCATCAGAGTCACCTGGAGGACTTAAGAAACTAAGTCACTAGGCCTCAGCCGCAGAGTTTCTCATTCAGTTGGTCTGGGGTGGGGCCTGAAAATTCTCATTCCTAACAAGCCCCCAGGTGATGCTGATGTCGTTGGAACCACACTTTGAGAACCACCGATGTAGGGCAAATGACATGGCTCGGGGGTTGGACATATTTAGGTTTAAATCTCCAGGCGGTCATCATCTAGAGGGATGACCTTGACTTAACCTCTCTGAGCCTCAGCTTCCTTATCTGCAATGCTCCCGTGAGGATTAAGCTAATGTGTGCAAAGTGATAAGCACAGGGCCAGGCATATCCAGGAGTGAACGCACAGGAAGCCCCCCTGCCCCCACCCGTTTCCCCTGGGCACACACAGCAGAAGAGGCTGCCGGGCTCACCAGCAACCCCTGTGCCGTCAGAGGCCAGCCCCCACAGCGCCCCCGCCGCTCCCCCCGACAAGCTCACCTGCTGTGATGGAACGACTTCAGCTTCGGCTGCAGCAGCACAAACAGCACCACAAGGAGGAGAATGAGTGCCACGGAGCTGGCAGTGGAAGCCACTATGGACAGCGTGGGGACCCCGAGGGACGTGTGGGTATCTTTGTCTACAGAAATAAACCATTGTCAGAAGTGTGTCATACCCAGACCCGGAACACATGAACCCCACGGCTGATCTTGTCCAAGGTTCCTTGCCCAGTGCCACGGCTGGGGCCACTTTAGAAGTCGACGTGTGGAGCAGTGTTTACATACAAGGGAAGGGGCCGTTTCCCTACCCTGTTCCAAAACCTAAAATTCACTTCAGTCCTGTGAGGGCCATCTCACTCCTAACCTCACCAACCCCTAGAGATCTGACCTGTATGAACCCCTTCTGACGCTGCCCTCAGTAGCAGGCTGGTGGACATCGGCCACTTCCATGGCCACGGCATTCCACCATCCGAGGTCCCGCCCATGTTTCCCCCACATGGCAGGGAAACTGGTAAGAACCAGGCTGTAATAACCCCTTGTTCTAAGATCCTGCAACTTCAGTTGTAAATCTCAGGCCGGTCCCCAGCCTTCCCTGGGTTGTCATGGTCTTGGAGCCCGAGTGTGAAGCACAAAGACGGCTGTATGACAGACGCTTTCCTGCAGGCAGCTGGATTTTCCTGTCATGCACAACAGGAGGAGGCAGGAGGGGGTGAGGGTGAGGTCTTCTGTCCAGCTGGACTGCAGCTCTATAACAAAATCGTCCATTTCCATTCAAAGAAAAATAATATAAAAGAGATACTCCAGAAGGTATTAGCAGAACATGGTCAAAGGTCACCAGCACTTGGCTGGGCAAACAGGAGATGCTGAGCATCAGAGGGACTTTACATAGCAGAACAGATGCCTCAGTAAAGCTACCGAGCCCCTTGGTGGCCCAGCTGAATTGCAGTGGGACACGCACCAGCAACCCCAGATGTCTTGCACAAAGACCTGAAATCCCAAAGGAAGGGAGGCCACAGGGCATCAAAGGAACTATCCTGCCCCACGGCACAGGTGCTCTGGAGGAAGTGGGCACCACTGCCCGTGGTGAAAGGAAGCAGAACCCCAGCAGCACCCCCTTTCCCATCTGTCAGACTGACCCTCGTTGAGACGACAGCTGATCTCCATGGCTGGCTTCCACTCTCCATTCTTACAGGTCAGGTACTTGTAATCGCCCTTCAACATGTAGCCTTCGGCACACAGGTACTCAATGACGCTGCCCGCATTCAGGGGGTCTCTGCAAGGCCGGGGGTGGCAGATGTAGCCGCCATTCTCTGGCTCCGGGGGCAGGGAGCACACTGCAAAGACAGACAGTTAACAGTGCTATAGTGCTGGGGTTTTCCAGTGGGAATCCTGTCCGTGACGCTGAGCAGGACAGTTCTGCAAGCCTCAAGGGGCAACACAGGAGGAAGCAAGAGTCATTCCCTTGGAAAGGCTGTTGGCCAAACTCTGGAAATTCAGGTTGCCAATGACAGAGGGAAGCACGCTAGCCACAGGGAAAGTCTGGCTGCTTGCAACACTGCCCCTCTCCCTCGGCATGTGCCTTGAGAGGACTGAATCCATAAGGGAGTGACAGACTATGACAAAGTTGTGAACTCACAGAGATCTAGCACATAATACGGTTTTGATAAAACCTACTGAGACACACAGTGAATCAGAGTGAAAGGTGGTAAAAATACTGTCAGCCTGGGCAGGAGACACATTAGCCCCGTTTCCAACATCAATACCAGCAAGGACTCCACTGTGTGATGAAAATGTGCCTTCATGGCCTGGCAGGGGATTTCTGATGGATTCCCAGGCCCCCTCTCCAGCCCCTACCTCCTGAGTGGAGTGGTCATTGCCAGCGCTTGTCTCTATCCCATAGGAAAGCCTGCATTTTTTGTTCAGGTAGGACTGTTTAGCTTTAAAAGCACCTTTACCTCCTATCTTATTTATGCTGACAGCTCCAGGAGATAGGTATTATGACTCCCCTTTGTCAATGAGGACACTGGCCCACAGAAGTTCAATGACTTGTAGCCAAGCGTATGGCAGCGTAAAGGGCAGACCTCCCTGGTCGACTCTTCTGATTCTAAGACCTGTGCTCTTTCCACCTGCAGACACTGCTTCTACCCCATGAGCTGAGCAGGCCTTTAAGAAGTGTGAATGTCAAGGTTACCTCCCTTTCAAACAGGTCAGTCAGGGGGATGGCAAACGAAGCCCAACTGTGATGGGAACCCTGGTACTGATAAGGTGTAGTAATAAATCAGATGAGCGGCAAGGTCTGAGCAGCTCGAGGAGAAGGGGGACTCTGACGCCATGGCCTGCCCTTCCACTCCTGGACAGACGCTGCAGAATGGATTGTGGGGTATGTCTAGCCGTAAGGGGAGGGACATAGCAGGGGCACGAAAGGAAGTGCTGTTTGGAAGGCTGGGCTGGGGGAGAAGACACGCTGGCAGGATGGCCAGGTACCACGAACTTCAACTTTCCAAAAGCCATACTAATACAAGAAAGATAAAAGTCTCCAAAGGACATCTGATTTTGCTGACAGATACCCTGCCCCTATCCTGACTATCACAAGAATATCAGTATGAAAATAAGAACCGCTGCGGTTTTTTTTTTTTCCCACTTCTTCTAATAGACCTGGAGTTTGACTGTGCCCTCTCCTGTTCACTGGCCTGCCCACCACTTCCTCGCACACAGATGCCCTTACAGTCTCTCACCAAATACCACTTCCCTTCAACCTGCAAACTGCTAATAAGCAAGCTGCCAGCTAGCCAGGTGGCGGGGGAGGGGATGGGGTCACGTCAAAAAAGAGATGACGGCTCCCTGCCTACAAGCTGCTTATTGCTGAGGTGGGGAGAAAAGACTCAACTGTAAAGATTTATTAGAAGATAATGCCAGGGTGAGTGCCCTAGGGATCCACAGGGGAGATCTGGGCAACTTCTCTGAGACTAACAGATGAGCCCAAATAAGCCCCCCAGTCCCTCTAGGGACATGCCTTCTCCAGATTCTTCCCACGCCACCCACCTCCCCCAAAGTCTTGAACAGGAGGGGACAGACCCACCACACTCCTTTCTGGTGCCTCCTGCAACTTTGGCCAACTAGTTCAAAGAGTTGGCCAGCTGGATTTCCAAAGAAACCTCTACAAACGGCTTTGCTCTTTACGCTTTCCTTCTTTTGTTCAGGGCAACAAGCCTGCCACAGATCCCCCAGCTCTCCTAGGACTGTGTCTAATTGGGGCATTTCCGAGGCATAATGCTGAGCACTCCAGGGCAGCTCCAAAAAGCAGGCAGGACCCACTCACAGGTCCAGTGTGCTGGGAAAGATGGTCTCAGAGGAAGAGCTGCTGATTCTAAAGCCACTCCCGCTTTGCTGGTATCCCTGCCCATAAAGCCCACATCTGCATGGAATCTATGAGAGGAACCCTGGAGATCACCCAGCATTCATTCGATCAGTGAAAAAGAATGAGGTCTACAAAGAAGTGACTTGGCAATTTCATTTCATTTCAACTATTATTTATTATTATGTAGGAGTCATTGTGCTCTGCTCTGAAAAAGGATAAAAAAGATAAGCACTTCAGGTACTTGGAGCTAAAGAGGGCTATGACAAGTATACACATATATTTTAAAAGTTGTTTTCTTTATGGCTTCTGGGTCTTGTGTCTTAAGGACATTTCTCTGGGGTTATAAACGTACCCTCTGAGGTTATAAATGTACTCCCCAATGTTTTCTAGAGTGGATCTTTGTTATGTAAATAATAATTTTACTGAAAAAAAATCATAGGACATACATACACATGATATAAAACTCAAAAAGAAGGGTGTACAGTGAAAAGTAAACCCTCTCCTGTTCCTGAGTCACTCAGTTCCTCTCTTCAAAGGCACTGCACCCATTTCTTTAATATTCTTCCAAAGATACTCCGCACATAGACATTCTAATACACCTCAAAGAACGTGATTAGTGCCACAAGACAGGGAGCACAAAGCAGGAGAGACCACATCTTGTGTGGGAGAGACTAGGCAAGGTTCATGAGGGGGCAGCATTTCAAGTGGGAGCTTTATCTGATCAGAAGACGGTTTAAGCAAATGCAGAGGTAGGAAAGTGTAAGTAAAGCCTAGAAAATATCAAGCAGCCCCAGCTAGCTGGGTTGCATAATACAATAAGGAAAATTCAGGAAAAAGTGCCGAGCAATGAAACCATCTTGCAGAGGGCCTTGACTGCAACAGAAGGTGTTTGTACTATGTTCAAAGGACAAGGGGAGCATTTGAGGGTTCTCAAGAAGGGCAGAATTACAAGAGAAGCTGAATCTGATCAAAGATGGACAGAGTTGGAGGGAGCCTTAGAGTATGTCAACAGCACAGCAATGTTAGCCTGGTAAGATAAGTGCACACGGGTTATTTTATGTTACCTATGACGGTCAGACAAAGGAGACAAGCTAAATACATCGGGCTCAGCGTTGCAAAGAGGCTGCCCCAGGTCCAAGAAAGTAAGGAGGCTGTAGAAGTAAAAACAAAAAGGGGGGTGGGTGGGTAGAGGCAAGGTCATTTTAAGACACCAGGAACACAAGAAAAAAATATGGCCCTGTTGCCCCAACAGCAGAGTGGGAGAGTCACGGCAAAGAGCAGGTGTTTGAGAGGACCCTCTCAGTGATGCCTGGGTTAACAAGAAAGGGAAGAACATCAGGAAGAGCAAATAATCATCCAGAGGCTTCTGGAAGCCACCCTTCTGGGCGGGAGGCTGACTTAATCTGTGCATTGGGCTCTCTCTCTGACAACCCTAGGTCCGGGAGTTTCGAGCTCTGTTCTCAACCTCAAGAAGACAATGAACTCATCTGATTTGGCAAAGCTGCATAATTTTAAAAAAAGAGGGGGAAAGCCAGAAGATAGAAATTATACAGGAAAAAAATCAATCAATTCTCCTTAGCTTCCTTCTCTGCTTTCCATTATCTCCTACAGCCCCTTAGGTCTCCACTGCATGCAGGAAGCAGCGAGGCAATTCTTCAGGGGCCGCAGAGTGCCTGGCGCACAGCAGTCATTCAGCGAAAGGCCATCCAACCAGCTGGGAGGGGACAGATGGGGTAGAAGATGCAAAATAAGCTGGCTGATCCTTCCACCTCCAAGTCACTGCAGCCTAAAACCCTCAGTAGAAAACAAGAACCCTCGATCAGCCCTTCTAAATGGGTTTTGCTTTTGTTGTTTTGGGGACCAGCCTTTTAGGAGAAAGAGGCAATAAACAAAACAAACTCTGTAAGATTCTGTAACAAGCAAATCAAAGGGAGCTCCAGGAAGGGGCCCAGGATCAAACTGTTCAATTTAAAAAACTGAAGAAGCACTTGAGCCCCTGCAGAATCAGGTGTGGGGAGTAGGGAGTACTAAGGCCAGCTTGAGGAGGGGAAAGAGACATTTAAATACCTGGTGCATTTTTTTTTTTAAGATTTTATTTATTTATTTATTTAAGATTTTATTTATTTGACAAAGAGAGACATAGCAAGAGAGAGAACACAAGCAGGGGGAGTGGGAGAGGGAGAAGCAGGCTTCCCGCCGAGCAGGGAGCCCGATGCGGGGCTCAATCCCAGGACCCTGGGACCATGACCTGAGCCGAAGGCAGACGCTTAACGACTGAGCCACCCAGGCGCCCCTACCTGGTGCATTTTAAAAAGACTCAACAAAAGAGGTTTCTGGCTGACGTTGGTTATCAAGAAAACCATACTCCCAAACAGGGACTGAGGGCTTAAGAAACTGTCGGTGTTCACTCCCGGGTTTGAAATAATGCTTTAGACTAAATGAGAGGAGTAACATTTAGAACACAACTGAGCACAGAGAAGTAGGTGCTTAATCAAGGCAACCAAAGAAAGGATGGCCAGAGAAAAGCTTTCCTGGGAATTCAGGGGAGAAGAAAAAGCTCCCTCCCCCCAACCCCAGCCCACAAACGCAGCAGTTGCAATCATCAGGGACACCACTGGAGGTGGTACTGTAAATGTCCCTATTTGGTTGTAATTCCATCAAAGGATCAGAGCTCGCCTCTCCCCACAAGCCACCCTAGGAGGGCCATAAATGTCCATGTGACAGGACCAGGCCCACAAAAAGCTTAACAATTTAGAGAGGACAGACTCACATGCATCCAACTCTAATGTAAATCAAAGAAGGAGGTGTTAAAAGGTTAGCTTTTCTATTAGCCTGGGCTGTCCTTGTCAGAGACCTCTTACTCATCTGAGCACTGGTGGCAACCGGTGGAAGGTGAGACCCCTGGGCAAAGAAGAGAAACAGGATCAAAAAAATGAGGGGAGGAAGGAACAGATGGATATCACATATCTAGCACAG